ACAGAGTAAAGCTTCCTCTACACTGTCCCCATCAAACACTCCCAGGACACAGATAGCACAGGTTGCAAAGAGTGAAGCTCTCTCTATACTGTCCCCAAACACTCCTAGGACAGAGCTAACATGGGGTTAGATACATAGTAAAGCTCAGTCTACATTGTCTCATCAATCCAGTCCATTTTGAGGAAAACCAGCAGGAAGCAGCCTCTTCCTCAATGTGCACCTGAACCGTGAACTGTGAACAAGAAACGTGATATTGCTACTCTACGCCTTGCTTCAGGAGTCTCTGAATTACAGACTGTTGTGGGGCAGCTGGCCATTTGGCCCATCTTGTCTGCATTGGTTGTCTCAGCATTGTAACTTGAGAGTGGCACGGTGGCTCAGTGGTTAGCACTGCTGCCTCACAGCACCAGGAACCCGGGTTCAATGCCACCCTCGGGTGACTGTGTGAAGGTTGTACATTCTCCCAATGTCTGTGTGGGTTTCCTCTGGGTGCTCTGGTTTCCTCTCACAGTCCGAAGATGTGCAGGTTAGGTGGATTGGCCATGGGAAATGCAGGGATAGGGTGATGGGTCTGGGTGGGATGTGCTTCAGAGGGTTGGTGTGGACTTGATGGGCTGAATGTCCTGCTTCCACACTTTAGGGATTCTAGATTTAAAAAAAAAACTTACTGCCAAGCCCCTGACTTTGTCATAATGCTCCACACTGTTTGAATAGAAATAACCATCCAATGCCCTTCTTAAATGCCTCAATGGAATCAGCTTCCACCATATTTCTAGCCGTGCTTTCCATGCCCTAACTACGTTTTTTTAAACATGTGCACATCACTTTAAAACTCTCCCCTCTGGATCTTAATCCAATTACAAACAGAAACAGCTTCTCCCTCTCTACACTGTCCAGCCCATTCGTGAATCTGAAAACTTCTACTAAATCTCTTCTCAGCCGTCTTCTCTCCAGGGAGAACCCAGTCCCAGTTTCTTGAATCTATCCACATCACTGAAGTTTCCCATTCCTGGTACCATTCTCATAAACCGCTTTTGCATTCTGTCTGATGCAGTTCCCAGCTGAGGTCTAACAAGCATCTTGTACACATTTAACATCTTGTTTTTGTACTCCATGTTGCTATTTAATAAAGGTGACAACATTGTATGTTTTTTTAGCTGCTCCCTCCACCTGTCTGCCACCTTCAATGACTTATGTACATATACATCCAGCTTGCTCTGCTCCTGCACCCCTTCATTATCCAGGAGCATCCATTATCCTTCAGCACCCATTATTGTCTTTTAATGTTCTTCGTCACCTCACACTTCTCTGTATTGAAACTCATCTGCTGCCAACTGCCAATTTAGAATCGCAGAATACCTACAGTGTGGAAACAGGCCCATTCACATCATCGAGTCCACACCAAACCTCTGAAGCACATCCAACCCAGACTCACCTCCTATCCCTGTTACAATGCATTTCCATTGGCTAATCCACCCAACCTACACATCACTGGACACTACAAGGCAACTTAGCATGGTAAATCCATCTAACCTGTATACCTTTGGACTGTGGGAGGAATCTGGAGCACCCAGAGGAAACCCACGCAGACGCAAGGAGAATGTGCAAACTCCACACAGACAGTCGCCCGAGGGCGGAATCGAACCCGGCTCCTTGGTGCTATGAGGCAGCAGTGTGAACCACTGAGCCACCATGCCACTTAACTTGTCTATGTACTTCTGGAGTTCTACACTGTCCTCCACACAGTTTACAACTCTTCTAAGTTTTGTATCATCTGCAAGCTTTGAAATTGTTCCGCACACACCATGATCCAAACCATTAATACACATCAGGAACAGCAAGGGTCTTAATATCAACCCGTGGGGAACTCCACCACAAACCGTCCTCCAACCCAAACATTATATATTCACTGTTATTCTGTTTCCTATCACTCAGCCAATTTGTATCCACGTTGTCCATTATATTCCACGAGTGGTCATTTTCTTCACAACTCCAATATGTTGCACTGTTTACAACAGCTTTCAGCAATCCATGTAGATAATCTCAATGGCCTAGCCCTCAACAGCCCCTCTCTGTAAGCTATGCAAATAAAAACTCCAGCAAGTTTGTTAGACACAAGTTTCCCTTTCCAAATCTGAGCTGCCTCTTCAGAACCAGCCCACAGTTTTCCATTTGATATGCAATCAAGGGTTACAGGGAAAACTACAGAAAGTGGACAATGAGGGATGTTGGATCAGCCATGATCCTGTTTAATGGTGGAGCAGGCTCAAGGGGCCGAGTGGCCTGCTCTTCTTCCTACTTCTTATGATTTTATAATTTCTATCCTGTATAATTGTTTTGAGGAGTTTCCCAGTGCTGAAGTTAAACTGACGGCTTTGTAATTGCTGGGTCAATCTTTACAAACCTTTTTGAACTTTGTAACAAAAGTAGACAATTTAGGGCATGTCTGGTGAGTTTACACTTCAGCCTTTTCCCACAGGAAACCCGAAGACAGACAGACAAAGTGGCAGGGAGATGTATCAGAGCTGCACACAACGGCCCACACTGATGGAAAAGTCAGCACCAGCGTGACGCCCACTGCAGTCAAATAGTTAACCACTCAACAGCCTGGCTGGCAAACCACTGTGGAACTGTGGCTGTGGAACTCAGACTCCTGTTAGCTCAGCACCGAGGGGAAGGAAGGATTGGTTGAGAGAAAAAGTTGCAGGTTTGGTTACGACACATAGGGTGGCGGAGGGAGCTCAGATCAGACCACTCAGGGGTAGATAGTACAACACAAGGAAAAGGGAGATTGAGAGAACAGGAGAGGAGCGAGTGAGCTGGAAGTGGAGGATTGAATCACTATGGCTGACCTTGGCAGAGCAGGAGGTGAGATCAACAAGGCAGTGCCTCACTGCCTGCAGTTTGGACAGGAGGAGGTCCATTCGGACCGAGTGGCCTTCAGCAGCATTGGCCTAGAATGGACAAGAAGAACAAACAATCACACATTTGTTACCAACCTTGATCTGGGCCGATAACGTCAGCCCCTCTCACACAAACCTCACTGACAAACTAACACAGTGCACACCGCTATCAAAACCTAGCACAGACTCTCCTATCAGCAGGCAACGGCACCAGGCTAGATACAGTGTGCTGCCCACCCCCTGCTTTTCTGTTAAACAGAAGGGAAAGCTCCCTCTTCTCTGCTAAACTGAAGGTCAAGTGGATCAAGTGTCAGTCTGGAAACATTTACAGGATAGTGATGTCAGTCTGAGGTTTCAATTGGTTGCAAGGAGCAATCCAGAACAGATTTAAACACAAGAACAAAAACAAAGTTGCTGGAAAAGCTCAGCAGGTCTGGCAGTATCTGTGAAGGAGAAAACAGAGTTAAGGTATCGGATCTGGTGACCCTTCCTCAGAACGGACTTAAATTGGGATGGAGACAGATCCGGTTCCGGGAAACTGGAATCAAAGATTGGCTAATGAAGCAGTGAGTCAGTCTTGGGAGGAGATAGTGTGGGTGCATCCGGGTGCATTCCCCTGAAGGGACAAGGTAGCTCCAACTACACCTGAGCTCCGCTGAAGACAAAATACAGAATGAAGGAATAAACTGTGTACCTGACAGACATCATGCTGATAACAAAAGGGGGAACCAGTTCTGTTTTAGTAAGGTCAGAGACAGTGTGAAAACAGGGAGAAAAGAATTGAGAAGCAGAGTGAGAGCATGAGAAGAAACCGGCAGCCTGGAAAATAAAAATCTAAAAGTTTTGATAGGCATGGGAATATTAAAAGATTGAATGAGGTTGATTAGGGAACAAAAAGGGGGATTTAGACATGGAGATGGGAGCATGGCGGAGTTACTAAATGAGTAATTTACAAGACAGTGCTGCAAAGGTCACTGTGATGGGAGGGAGTTCTGGCATGGAATAGACTAAATATTCATAACTGAAGACATTAGAGAGAGTACAGAAAGGATTCATGGGAATGGTTCCAGGGATGAGGAATTACTGAGGATTAATTGGAGAAGCGAGGACTGTTTTCCTTGGACAAGAGAGGGCCAAGAAGAGATGTAATTGAGGAGTTCAAAATCATGACAGGTCTGGACAGAGCTGAGAGGGAGAAATGGCTCCCATTGGCATCAAGAATTTACCTCTGCCTTAAAAATATTTAACAATTCCACATCCACTGCCTTTTGGGGAAGGGAATTCGAAAGATTCTCAATCCTCAGAGAGATAAAAAAAATTTCCTCACCTAAGTTTTAAATGGATGCTCTTTTGTTTTAAAAAGAAAGCTATGGCTCCTAGTTCTAGACTCTCCCACATCGTCCTGATCAAATTCCCTCAGGATCTTATATGTTTCAATTAAGTCACTTCTGATTCTGTCCAAAGATGTGCAGGCTTGGTGGGTTGGCCATGGGAATTGCAGGGTTACAAGGATAGGGCAGTGGGAGGGATGCTCTTCAGAGGGGTGGTGTGGACTCAATGGGCTGAATGGCCTGCTTCCGCACTGTAGGGATTCTATGATTCTTCTAAACTCCAGAAGATCCAGGCCTAACCTGTTGAGCCTTTCCTCATAAGACAATCTGTTCGTTCCAGGTATTAGTCAGTAAACCTTCTCTGAACTGCTCCCAATTCCTTAACATCCTTCTGTCAGTAAGTGATCGATACTGTACACAGTACTGCAGATGGAATCTCACCAATGCCCTGTACAGCTGAAGCATAACCTCCCAACTGATGCATTCAATTCCCCTCACAATAAAACATCAGCTCTCCTGATTACATTCTGCGAGTCATTTATTAGAACACCCAAATTTCTCTGTATCTTAGAGCCAAACAACCCCTCACTGTTTATATAACCTGCTTCTTTCTTTTAATCTTTCTGAGAAAATGGACAATTTCACAGTTCCCCACATTGTAGTCCATTTGCCAGATTTTTGCCAATTCATTAACTTTTCTAAATCCCTGTAACTTCATGTCTTCTTCTCAATGTACTTTCCTGCCTATTTTTGTGCCATCGGGCAGAATACGAGGTCCTACTCCTCCAGTTTACGTGTGGTGTTATTGTGACACTGGAGGAGGCCCAGGATGCTCATGTCACCCAGGGAGTGGGAGGGTGAGTTAAAATGGTTGGCAACCAGAAGGTGTTGTTGATTATAGCCTGTGCTTCACGCAGGTGCTTCACGAATCAGTCACCGAGTCTGTGCTTGGTCTCACTGATGTAGAGGAGACCACATCGGGAGCATAGAAACAGTAGACCAGGTTGAAGGATATACAGGTGAACCCCTGTCGAATGAGGAAAGTTTGTCTTGGGTCTTGGATGGAGGTGAGGGGGAGGTGTAGGGGCAGGTGTAGCACCTCCTGCGGTTGCAGGGAAAGGTGCCAGGGGTGGGGGGGTTAGTGGGGAGTGTGGAGCGGACGAGGGAGTCATGGAGAGAGCAGTCCCTATGAAAGGCAGATAGGGGTGAGGAGGGAAATATATCTTTGGTGGGGAGGTTGGATTGTAGGTGGCAGAAATGGCGAAGGATGATACACTGGATGCAGAGGTTGGTGGGGTGGTATGCGAGGACAAGGGGGATTCTGTCTTTATTTTTTTTGGCGGGGGGAAGAGGGGCTTGCGGCAGAAGTGTGGGAAATGCAAGGGATGTGCAGCTGAGGGCATTTTCAATAAATGTGGGGGGAAGGGGGAGTGTTGCAGTCTTTGAAGTAGTTTGACATCTGGATGTCTGTGACTGGAACGTTCCGTCTTGCGGGGGATATGGCAGAGGAATTGAGAGTAAAGGGATCACGTTCTTGCAGGAGAGTGGGTGAGAGGAGATTTAGTCAAGGTAGCAATGGGAGTCGGTGGGTTTGAAATAGATATCGGTGCTGAGACGGTTACCAGAGATGGAGATAGACAGCCCTAGGAAGGGGAAGGAGGTATCGGAGACGGTCCAGGTGAATTTGAGGTTGGGGTGAAAGGTGTTAGTAAAGTGGATGAGCTACTCAATCTCTTCATAGGAGCATGTGGCACCACCAATATAATCATCAATGTAGCAGAGGAAGAGGTGAGGGATGATGCCAGTGTAACAGTGGAAGAGAGACTGTTCCACGTGCCCTACAAAGAGGCAGGCATAGTTCGGACTCATACGGATACCCATAGCTACCCCGTCATTTTGTAGGAAGTGAGAGGAGTTAAAGGAAAAGTTGTTGAGAGTAAGGACAAGTTCCGTTAGGCAGATGAGGGTGTTGGTGGAGGGGGACTGGTTGGGCCTGTGGGAGAGGAAGAAGCAGAGGGCTTTTAGGCCATCTGCTTGGGGGATACAGGTGTACAGGATTTGAGGTCCATGGTGAAGATGAGGTGTTGGGGGCCTGTTTCAGTGCTATTTTGATGTAATTAGACTTTTCCTTTAATTTATGAAGGAGCTGGTGATCATGCACCAAGCATGAATATGATTAACATTTGATTTCCTTAAGTAATTTTCAGTTGTTTAAAATTCATTTACTTAAATGTTGGTGAACACACTGATTAAAAATCATTACTTTTTGTCATCAGCCTATTTTCGTGAATCAAACTGGATCCGGTTACCACTTAACTATTTCGCAGAGTACTGTTCAAAACAATACTTTCATTTAAAATCCTTTCTGAAAAGCTGCTGAGTGGCATTGGTTCATGGCAGACTTGCTTTTGAAAATCTGTAAATGAATTGGGAGTGGAATCTTGATGAGGAGAAAATCAGCCCATTTCAACTAATAAAGTGCCTGTGGGAACCAAAGCAGCAGGTCACAAAGTAAGCAGAAGGTAGAGGTTAGCAGGATGAACAGGCAAGGCCAGTCTAACAGCCATGGTGAGGGGAGGAGTCATAAAAGATGAAAATGTGATTGGAAAGCCGAAATAAATGATACAGAAGAGGCTCCACATTATCAGGGATTAATAAAATAAAGAATGGAGTGTGTGGAAAGCATAGTGCACAAGAAAATATTAAATGAGAAAGACAAGTCAGTAGAACTTATTTAAAAACCTCGCACCTAAATGCACACAGTATACCGAGTTGACGGCACAAATAGAGACAAATGGTGGGGATTACTGAAATGTGACTACAGGAAGATCAGGACCAGGAGTTGCAGGAGGTGGAATTACTTTATTGGTTAAGGATGACGTCAAGGGTGTATTAAGAAATGATGTTGGCTTTAGGGACCTAAATGCTGAATCAGTCTGAGCAGAAATAAAAAGCAACAGAAGAAATGGATTGGGAGGAGTAATTCACAGGCCCCACTACAGTACTTCCAAACTAGGGCAGAGTATAAACTAGGAAAATAATGAGGGTTTGGGAGAAGGGCACAATGGTAATTATTGGTGATTTTGACATGCAAACTGACTGGATTAATCAAACTGGCAAGGGTAGCCTCAGAGAAAGGCTTACAGAGTGAATGAGGGATTGTTTCTTAGAGCAACATGTCAGGGATCCAACAGAGGACTGGTTATTCTAGATTTGGCATCATGCAAAGATGAAGGATAAATGGTCTTGTAGTTAAGGATCCTCTTGGAAGGAGGGACCACAACGTGCTAGAGTTTCAAATTCAGAGTGAAAGAGTGAAGACAGAGTCTCAGATGAGAGTTTTAGTGTCAGGCAAAGATGATTATTTAAGCCTGAGGAAGGAGTTGACCCAAGTGGACTGGGCAAAAATATAACAGGGCAGGACAGTTGAAGAACAGTGGTAGATGTTTAAGGAAACTAAATACCTGTCAATTAAAGTATATTCCTGAGAGGAGAAGGAATTGTAAAAAGGTTAAAAATCATCCATGGCTTAAACAAGGAAGACATGAATAACATAAAGGCAAAACCTAGGGCACATTATACTGCAAATGTTAGTGGCACTCTGGAGGATTGGGAGAACTTTAAACATCAGCAAAGGGTTACTGAGAACAAAATCAAAAGTGCTGAGATGAACAACAAAAGGAAACTAGTAGAAAACATAAGCACTGATACCAAAAGATTCTATAAGGATATAGAACAAGTGAAAGTAAAAGTTTGCCATTTAGACGATGCGAATGGTGAAGTAATAATGGGAAACTCAGAAATAGCAGAGGCACTAGACCAATTTTGTTTTTCGGTTTACCCAAGGGTAAAGGATAATTTCTTCCCAAAAGCTGCAGTCACTACAAAGGAATTTGGTGAAATTACTATAAGTAGGGAGAAGGTATTAAGTAAACTGATGGATTAAAGGCAGCTAAGTCCCCGGGCCCAATGGCCTGCACCCTACAGTATTAAAGAAAGTGGCAGCAGAGATGGTGGATGCATTAGTTATGATATTCCAAAAGGTAACGGTGGATTGGGAGCATGCTAATGTGACACCCTTATTTAAAAAAGGAGATAGGTAAAAAGTGGGAAACCACAGACCAGTTAGTTTGACCTCTGTAGTGGGAAGTTGCTGGAGTCAATCATAAAGGAGGAGATAACTGAACACTTGGAAAAACAAAACTCAATTCACCAATGTCAGCATGGTTTCATGAGGGCAAGTTGTGCTTTACAAACTTGCTGGAGTTTTTTCAGCATGTACCCAGCAAGGTGGATAATGGGGATCCAATGGATGTGATATATTGAGACATCCAGAAGGCATTTGACAAGGTGCTGCATAAAACACTGATCCAGAAGGTTAGATCCCAGCAGTTAAGGATAGAGGATAGAGGATTGACTCACTGACAGAAAGCAGAGGGTCAGGATAAATGGGACTTCCTCTCGAGGGCGAACAGGGTTCCATTCTCAACTATTTGCAATCTAAATAAATGATCTGCAAATAGGGACAGAGTGTAACTTAGCAAAATTTGAAGATGATTCGAGATGGGCAAGCAGGCTGAGAAGAGGAGATAAAGAGTTTACAGATGGATGTTGATAGCTGGGAGAACGGGCCAGAATCTGGAATTTATTGTGGATAAGTGCAAGATTGTCCATTTTGGCCAGAAAAACAAAAGGGCAGATTATTATTTAAATGAGAAGCAGATTCAAAGTGTGTCAGTGCAAAGGGATCTTTGTGCATGAATTACAGAAAGTGGGTATGAAGGTGCAGCATATAATCAGAAAGGCAGTTATTGCAAAAGGACAGGATTATGAAAGTAAAGAAATGTTGTTGCAGTTATATAAATTGCTGTTGAGATCACACCTGGCATATTGTGTCTAGTTTTGGTCTGCTTACTTGAGGAAGGATGTGGTGGCACTGGTTGCAGCTCAGAGGAAGTTCGCCTGATTCCAGGGATGAAAGGGCTGCTGTATGAGGAGTGGTTGAATAGCTTGGGTTTGTACTCGCTGGAGTGCAGAAGAATGAGGGGTATCTGATTGAGGTATATAAAATGCTAAAGGGGATTGATAAGGTGGACGTTGAACAGACATTCCCCATTGTAGGAGAATCTCAAACAAGGGATCATAGAGTGAGAGGATGTAGGTTCAAAACTAAGATGAGGAGAAACTACTTCTCTCAAGGGGTGGTGAATATGTGGAACTCACTGCCTCAGAGTGCCGTGGAGGCAGAATCAATCAACAGATTCAAGAAAGAAATAGATGTGTTTCTGGTGAAAAGTCCAAAAAGGGCTGCGGGGAACAGGCAGGAAAGGAGTTGAGACAAGGATAAGATCAGCCATGATCATGTTAAACGGTGGGGCAGGCTCGAAGGCCTATTCCCACTCCTGGTTCCTATATTTCACTTCTCAAAACTAGTCCATTCTAATGATGTCCTGCCTGTGCCCAGAGAGCGCTCTCTGGGCTTTTACTAGGTCCGCACAAAGAACACAGACTGCGTGGGGGGGGGTTATGGTTAGGTGGTGAGCTCTTGTCCATTAAATGCTCTCCTATGAGCCACTCACACTGCCACTGGGGGACTTGCTGAGATTTTTCTGACGTTCCTGGATTGCCCAGATCTGCTGGATATACCAGCCTCGGGCACAATCAATCACCTCGAGACCCTGCAGCAAGGCGTCCTTCTCCTGTTCCAGCTCCTTCATCCACTTCAGCTGCGGACACATGAAAACAGTGTTAGCTCCAGGAACTAGCCAATCATAGTGCAGCGCTCCAGGAAACAGCCACTCACAGCGCAACCTGCCAAACCCTGCCAGGAAACAGCCAATCAAAAAGGACAGCCTGGAAATTATTGCGTGTGTTAAACTAAAATTAAATGTCTGTCCGTTCCATGGCCAAGGAAACTGATTAAAGTAAAAGAGACAGCAGGGGCATCTGATTTGATATTGGTCACTCCACCCAGTCTGGGGAATCTCGAGCACGAAGAGCAGCCTCAGGAGGAGGGGCCAATTAATGCAGCTAGAATTTTTAGAAATGTTAGACGTGGGAATGGGGGCAATTGTTGACTGTCATAAAATCCATCTGGATCACCAAAGTTCTTTCAGGTAGGAAATCGGTCATCCTGACACGTTCTGGCCTTCACATGACTCCAGAACCCACAATGACATATCTGATTCTAAATGCCCTCTGAAATGACTAACAAGCCACTCCTGTTGTAGGGAATTGCTATGGCGTTCAAACAAAATGAAACTGGACAGACCTCCTGGCATTGACCTAAAGGCCTGTTGACCCCGTAAAGTCCTCCTCACTAACATCTGGGGTCTAGTACCAAACTGGAGAGAGCTATCAGACAGACTAGTCAAGCAACAGCCTGACAGAGCAAGGAATCATACCTTAAAGACAACATCCTTGACATCACCATCACCATCCCTGGATATATCCTGTCCCACCGGCAGGACAGACCCAGCACAGGGGGCGGCACAGTGGTATATAGTCGGGAGGGAGTTGCTCTAAGGATCCTCAACATTGACTCCAGACCCCATGAAGTCTCATGGTTTCAGGTTAAACATGGGCAAGGAAACCTCTTGCTGATTACCACATACCGTCCTCCCTCAGCTGATCAAACAGTACTCCTCCATGTTAAACAACACTTGGAGGAAGCACCGAGGATGGCGAGGGCACAAAATGTACTCTGGGTGGGGGATTTCAATGTCCACCACCAAAAGTGGCTCAGCAGCAGTACTACTGATCGAGCTGTTCGGGTCCTAAAGGACACAGCTGCTGGATTGGGTCTGAGACAGGTTGGTTCCCTCACCACAAGAGAGGAAAACATACTTGTCCTCATCCTTACCAATCTACCAGCTGCAGATATATCTGTCCATGACAATATTAGTAAAAGTGACCACTGCACATTCCTTCCAGAGACAAAAATCTTGCCTTCACATGGAGAACAACCTCCACCATGTTGTGTGGCACTATCATCATGCTAAATGGGATAGACTTCAAACAGATCTAGCAACTCAAGACTGGGCATCCATGAAGCGCTGCGGGCCATCAACAGCAGCAGAATTGTACTCCAGCACAATCTATAACCTCATGGCCCGGCATATCCCCCACTCAATCATTACCATCAAGCCAAGGGATCAACCCTGGTTCAATGAAGAGTGCAGGAGGGCATGTCAGGAGCAGCACCAGGCATACTTGAAAATGAGGTGTCAACCTGCTGAAGCCACCGAACAGGACTACTTGCACGCCAAACAGCATAAGCAGCAAGTGATAGACAGAGCTAAATGATCCCACAACTAATGGATCAGATCTGAGCTCTGAAGTCCTGCCACATCCAGTTATGAATCGTGGTGGACAATTAAACAACTCACTGGAGGAGGAGGCTCCACAAATATCCCCATCCTCAATGATGGAGAGCCCAGCACATCAGTGCAAAAGATAAGGCTGAAGCTTTCGCAGCAATCTTCAGCCAGAAGTGCCGAGTGGATGTCCATCTCTGCCTCCTACAGTGGTCCCCAGCTTTACAGATACCAGTCTTCAGCCAATTCGATTCACTCCACGTGATATCAAGAAACAGTTGGAGACACTGGATACTGCAAAGACTGTGGTCCCTGACAACATTCCAGCAATAGTACTGAAGACTTGTGCTCCAGAACTGCTCCCTTACCCAAGCTGTTCCAGTACAGTTACAACACTGGTATCTACCCAACAGTGTGGAAAATTGCCCAAGTATGTCCTGTACATAAAAAGCAGGACAAATCTAACCCGGCCAATTACCGCCCCATCAGTCTACTCTCGATCATCAGTAAAGTGATGGAAGGTGTCATCAACAGTGCTAACAAGCAGCACCTGCTCAGAAATAACCTGCTCAGTGACACCCAGTTTGGGTTCCACCAGGGCCATTCAGCTCCTAACCTCATTACAGCCTTGGTTCAAACATGGACAAAAGAGCTAAATTCCAGAGGTGAGGTGAGAGTGATTGATTTCAAGGCTGTGTTCGACCGAGTGTGGCATCAAGGAGCAAAACTGAAGTCAATGGAGTCTAAAAGCAAACTACTGCGAATGCTGAAGATTTTGAATAAAAGCATAAAATACTGGAGAAACTCCGCAGGTTTGGCAGCATCTGTGGAGAAGTGTCAAACACAGTTAACGACTTGAGTCCCAAAACTCTTCCTTGTAACTGAAGAGGGCTGAAAAATGACAGGAAAATTTTTTCTGATGAAGGGTCTAGGCCCGAAACGTCAGCCTTTTTGCTCCTATGATGCTGCTTGGCCTGCTGTGTTCATCCAGCTCTGCACCTTGTTGTCTAGGAAAATTAAGTTTTTATTTTTGGAATCAATGTGTATTGGGGGCAAACTCTCCAGTGGTTGGAGTCATACCTAACATATACAAAGATGGTCGTGGTTGTTGGAGGTCAGTCATCTCAGATCCAGGACATCTCCGCAGGAGTTCCTCAGGGTAGTGTCCTAGGCCCAACCATCTTCGGCTGCTTCATGAGAAGTGGGACGTTCACCAATGATCGCACAGTATTCAGCACCATTTGTGACTCCTCAGATACTGAAGCAGTCCACGTTCAAACGCAACAAGGTTTGGACAATATCCAGGCTTAGGATGACAAGTGGCAAGTAGCATTCATGCCACACAAATGCCAGACAATGACCATTTCCATCAAGAATCTAACCATCACCCCTTGACATTACTGCTGAAAATCTCATTATCAACATTTTGGGGATTACAATTGACCAGAAACTGAATTAGACTCGTCATATAAATACAGTGGCTACAAGAGCAGGTCAGAAACTGGGAATACCGCAGTCAGTAACTCACCTCCTGACTCCTCAAAGCCTGTCCACCATCTACAAGGCACAAGTCAGGAATGTGATGGAATACTCCCCACTTGCCTGGATGAGTGCAGCCCCAACAACATTCAAGAAGCTTGGCACCATCCAGGACAAAGCAGCCCACTTGATTGGCACTACATCCACAAGCAACCACTCCATCTACCACTGACCCTCAGTAGCAGCAGTGTGTACTATCTACAAGATGCACTGCAGAAATTCACCAAAGATCCTCAGACAGCACCTTCCAAACCCACGACTACTTCCATCTAGAAGGACAAGGGCAGCACATACATGGGAACGCCATCACCTACAAGTTCCCTTCCGAGCCACTCACCATCCTGCCTTGGAAATATATCGCTGCTCCTTCAGTGTCACTGGGTCAAAAATCCTAGAATCCCCTCCCTAAGGGCATTGTGGGTTTACCTACAGCACCTGGACTGCAGCGGTTCAAGAAGGCAGCTCACCCCCACCTTCTCAAGGGGCAAATAGGAACAGGCAGTAAAGGCTGCCCAGCCAGTGACACCCATGTCCCATGAATGTATAAAAAATCTGAAAGGCTGAGGGGGACAGATTTTGAGTGTTTTTTTTAGGAATTAAGGGGTATGAGAAGAGGACGGGAAGGTGGAGGTGATCCTGATTGTACTGACTGGGCAGCAATGTGGCCAACTCACACTGCTACTTTTTGCTCTTATACTGTCTAAGAATGTTTCACAACCCAGTGTGAGACCTCATTTCAGAGTGTAACAAATGTTCTAACTGAGGTGCAGCAGTCATGAGACTCCTGGGGCCGAGAGCACACCATGTGAGTACGTGACAGCTCATCCGTCATTAACAATCTGAGCCTACAACCTGCAGTGAGCTTGCACTCACCCTGTCATAGTCAATCCCATTGGTTATGGTGTGACGACGAAGCTCACCACGTTCCTGTCTGTGTTCGAGGCCAGATGCCATTCGACCGCAGGAGGCCTCACTTTGGCAGCGAGCTATGTGTCTCCCCTCTGTAGATAAGGAAAGAGGATTAACAGAAACCGTTGCAACCCATTGTGCCCACAACCCCATCAAGCAACACCAGAGTCAGTGCCTGAATCCCCATAGCCTCCAATGGCCAGGACCACATGGAAATCTCCCTGTCACAGGATGACTCCTGCACCAAGCAGCGGGAGGGAGGAGGGCACAGTTAGCATCTGTGACACTTGCCTGTTCCCAAACACCATCCAGTGAGGCGAGGGCAGGATTGGTCTCTCACCTAATCAGGATGCCCTCCAATAGGGCAGAGTACAAAATAAGATGGGTGAGGGGTAAAAAGGAGATGTTCCCAAGGACTGAGTTTGCTAGACAAAGAGATTAAAGATCAAGAAACTGAAAAGGGTTGAACAAGAGAAAGTGAAACAAAAACCTTTTATAAGATTGTAAAGAAGAGTAGGCCATTCAGCCCCGTCAGCCCCATTATACAACATCATGGCAGGCCTGATGTGTGGCATTATCGCTCACTCCTTTGTAGATCAAACATCTGATAGCTGATAATGGATTCCCCAATGAGAGATGTTAACCTAATTGGCCTATACTTTCCTGCTTTCTGTCTCTCTTCTGTCCTGAATAAAGGAGCTACGTTTGCACTTTTCCAATCTGCTGGGACCTTGCCAGAATCTCAGGAATTTGGGGAGACGGATGACATCCACTTCTTGCTAAACTCTGGGATACAGGCCATCAGATCCAGTGAATTGTCAGCTTTTTAATTCCATTAGATTTCCATGTACTTTTGCCACCTGTGAGAGCGATTGTTTTCATTTCTACTCTGCCCCTTGACTTCTCTACTTTCTATTCCTCTTAGGATGCTTTTACTATCATCCACCATGAAAAAAGATGCAAACTACCTAGAATTATGCAGTACAGAAGATGGACTCTTCGGCCCATCAAGTCTATACTACCAAAAATACACCATTACCAACACAAGTTCCGCTTTTCCTCACAGGGCCCATAGTCTTGAACATTACGACACTTCAAGTGCTCATCCAAGAGTTTGTTAAAGTTTCGGATTTGTTCAGAGCCTCTGCCATTTCTTTGTTTCCCAAACATGAGGGTGAATCCTTTATTTCAGTATTATGTTACGAAGATGTGTTATCTGAAGCATTAATTTAGAATATGATTCACTGAACACATATCTGCATGTTGAACGTTTTCAAAAGTACGCTTCCCAAAGCTAATCAGCTGTAGCAAGGAAAACGGTTGTAAATGTAAAGAAAGCAAGTTGCTGGCCTGGAGTCACTGAATCTACCATACTTTCAGAGGAAGATCACAATGTAATAAAGCTGTCGGAGAGATAACTTGCCTGCAACAACAGTGTTTGCATTCTCTCTTGCTCTTCTCAGAATCCCCTCCTCAAGTCTGAGTTAGAAACTCTCGGGATAACCTCATCACCACAAGTGGACGATCTCAAGGGAGAATTCAGATTCTACCAGCACCATCTCCAGCAAAAGCTAATTCAACCAGCCATAACCAATCCACGGAGACATCACAACACCAGCAGCTTGTGTCCAGACTTTGGATGCAGGCTGATATTTATGACAAACTGACTTTTTTTAAAATTTAACTACTATTTGGCCAAAGTGCTTTTGAGGTAACACGTTGAGGAGTTTAATATTTTTACCCCATACTTAGGGATGTAGTTGTGCGTGGACATGGCAGTTTTCAAGAAGGCAATGATACATATTTGCATGATTTATATCTTTATATGTTTATATCTTTGCTCCAGTAAGTTTTGTTTACATTAAGCTGATTCTTTGTTATTTAAGGAACCTGGCTGACTTGTTCTGTGACTGAGCAATATACAGTTAGCTACAATATGCAAAATCATCTCCCCTTTTCAAATGTAAATTTTACTGTGACCAGTGGAGGAGCGGACATGAAATCAAATCTATTCACCCCTCCTAAAGTGATCAAAATGGTGTGAAAAACAATTAGAATTGATGGGCAACAAGTGACTGGGTGCTGAAGCCTACACCCTGGGCTGTGGAGAAAACTCACAGGAACAGCAGAAACCAAAGTCTCAATTTTCCACTGATCAGATGCACAAATTATCTGCTGTTCCAGGAGAGAAACAAAAAAGCTGCATTACAGCTGAACAGTTCATTGCAGGTTTGTTCTGGGCAAAACCAGAATTTTGGATTTGAGCTATAATAAAAGTGAGCTTTTTGAAAAGCATCATTTATCAGGACAGCCAGCTGGATTGGTTATGATCAAGACGGGCTTGACAAATCACAGCATTGTTAAAGCACAGAACGCCATTCAGTCCATCATGTCTGTGATTGCTCTCCAGATTTCCAACTTTCTCTCCACAACCCTGCACATTCTTCCTTACAAAGAACAATCCAATCCCTTCTCGAGCGTGTAGATTGAACATGCTTCTACCACATTCTCACAGTATGTTCCAGGTCTACTCAGTTTGTTCCCTGCAGTTATCAGACCTCTCATACATTAGAGTTGATCTTTCTTTGCATCTTCTCTGCATTCTGTTCTATTTCCCTGATGTACTTATGTGAACCACAGAATCATGAAATTCCTACAGTGTGAAAACAGGCCATTCAGCCCAACAAGTCCACACCAACCTTTCGCAGAGCATCCTACCCAGACCCATCCCTCTTTCCCTGTAACCCTGCATTTCCCATGGCCAACCCACCTAGCCTGCACATCGCTGAACACTATGGGCAATTTAGCATGGTCATTCCACCTAACCCACATGTATTTGGACTGTGGGAAGAAACCAAAGCACCCAGAGGAAATCCACATGGATACGGGGAGAATATGCAAACTCCATACAGTCGTCTGAAGGTGGAATTGAACCCGTGTGCCTGGCGTTGTGAGGCAGCAGTGCTAACCACTGAGCCACCATGCCACCCTCATGCGGTAAGATTTGTCTGATTAGCATGTAAAACAATATTTTTCACTGTATCTCCATACATGTGACAACTATAAGTCAAATCACTGATCATCAAATTGCAGTTATTTCTTTTGCCAACCACCTGTGCGCTCATGTTCGTGATTCTTCAACCAATGGAAACAGTTTCTCTCTACTTACTTTTCCTGGTCCCCTCATGATTTTGAACCCTCGATCAAAGGAATACAGTCCCAGCTTCTCCAGTCTATCATCATAATTATATGGGATGATACAGCACAGAAACTCATCCACACCGACCTGACATCCCAATCTGACCTAGCCCCATTTGTCAGCATTTGGCCCATATCTCTCTAAACCCTTCTTGTTCATATATACATCCAGATGCCTTTTAAATGTTGTAATTGTACCCATCTCCACCACTTCCTCTGGCAGCTCATTCCATACACGCACCACCCTCTGCGTGAAAAGGTTGCGCCTCATTTCCCTTCTAAATCTTTCTCCTCTCACCTTAAACCTACATCCTCCAGTTTTGGAGACCCCCACCCTTGGATAAAGACCTTGGCTATTCACCCTATCCATGCCCGTCATGATTTTATAAACCTCTTTAAGGTCACCCCTCAGTCTCTGACACTCCAGGGAAAGTAGCCCCAGCGTACTCAGCCTCTCCTTCTAGCTCAAACCCTCCAACCCCAGAAACATCTTTGTAAATCTTTTCTGCATCCACTCAAGTTTAACAACTTTATTCCTATAGAAGGGAGACCAGACTTGTATGCAGTATTCCAAAAGTGGCCTCATCAATGTCCTGTACAGTCACAATATGATGTCCCAACTCCTGTACTCAATGTTATGACCAATGAAGGCAAGCGTGCCAAACACCTGCTTCACTACTCTGTCTGCCTGCAATTCCACTTTCAAGAAACTGAGTACATGCACCCTTAGGTCTCTTTTTTCGACAGCACTCCCCAGGAGTTTACCATTAAGTGTATAAGTCCTGCTCTGGTTTGCCTTATCAAAATGCAACACCTCACATTTATCTAAATTAAACTCCATCTACCACTCCTCAGCCCATCGGCCCAACTGATCAAGGTCCCGTTGTACTCCGATATAATCTACTTCACTGATTGGTCCCGAGAATGGGGGACTTACATTCTCATGATACTTTTCTGCACCATCTCTAATCCTTCTTGAAGTGGAGCTCCAGACTTGGACATAATCATCCCACTGCAGGCAGTGTTCTATAATCTCCTTGAAAAGACAGAGAGGAAATCACAAGGAGATGGTAAAGATTAGAGCAGTTTAATAGACAGAGAGCTTAAAGGAGATATGGAGGAGCCAATTTGTCAGAAGGTACACCATATGGAGGTAAAACAGCCAGATGGAGAGAAAAATGATTGACAGGTGTTGATCAGACTGGAGAGAGAGCTGGATGCGGTCCACCCTGAGACTAGCTGTGTGTCAATTGGTGCTGCATTGGGAAGTGGCTTGGACTTCGGGATCAGGATTATAATTTTAAAATGTACTAGTTGTACAAGAGTAGCAATATTTACAAACAGCGAGGGGAGTGCAAACAGCTTCAGGAGGACACAGGTTCATGAAACAAATAGACTAAATTAGATTGAGATTAAGTGAGAGATGTAAAACATGGGGGAACAGGAGTCACAACTCAATTACAAGAACCTCCCACGAAAGCCAGTCCCAGGGCCTCAAACACAGAATACTCCCTCCATTTGCAATTGCATAAATATTAGCTTAAAACACAGAATCAAAAAATTGAAATAGTAAACATGATATAGGCCACAGTTGGAGTTCTTTTGGGCAGCTCTAGCCATCCTGAAATATGCAGATCATAGCAACATTTAGATTCACCAGGGAGATGCCAGACGTGGACAAAGCTTAACCAAGCCCAGACAAGAGTTGTAAAATTCTCAACACTCTTTCAAAATGAAATGGGGAAAAGATTATCAGGCCACTTATAATGGAGGCGACTGGGATTGATAAAGGGCTATGTGGAGAGAGCAGGACAGTGGGATTAGTTTAGGAATGGATACAGGGCTATAGGGAGAGAGAGGGGCAATGGGATTAGTTTGGGATTGATACAGGGCTCTGGGAAGTGAGTGGAGCAGTGGGATTAATTTGATTTCCTCTATCAAATAGGGAATTGGTACATTGGCCAAATAGCCTTTCAGTGCTATCAACTAACTGCTTAGTTTGGTAGCTACAGCAAACAGGATCAGACAGCAGGCAGGACTGTCCTTGCTAATAATGGTTAGGGAATAAACCTGAACAAATCTGTAAATTATGTTACAATCTCTGCATTGACCAGGCCAGTTGGCTGTCTCTATCCTTGCTGCTATCTATCCTATTAACCTGGCCACTGCCCCTATCCCTCACCACCTCACTATGTTTATATCCTAATTAAACATTCCTGGTGATTTCTTGCCCATTTGATACTCACTCTCTCACTCACCTGCTTCCAGACGCTTCTGCCCTTCCAATCCAAGGCACTCGATGGCAGTCTGTGGTCCTGTGTTGGTTCCTTTCTGTTCCATCATTGGCTCCCTCTCGGCCAGAGTGGTTTTGCACTGGCCAGGGTCCAGTGAGACATGATCTGGCTCTGTCCGGTTATTGGGAATGTTTGCCGATCTCGCCCTCAGCGGTGATTTTGGTTGAACCCCAGGAGCTCGGAATTTGTCTGACGTCAGGTGGTGACGTTCAGTCACTGGGCAGATCTGACTCGAGACCTTTAGCGTTCTTAAACTGGCCGGGTTCTCACTGCTCCTCCGAGAGCCATTCTTACTCCTCTTCCATACTGTAACACAAGCAGCAATGAGCTGGGCTTAAATTAGGTACCACTGAAATTCAGCAAATAACACTGGGTCCAGCGAAACAGGAACAACTCAACATCCTCATGCAAACCACAAACTTCAGGTTACACAGCATGGAAACGAGGAATGTCCCATACACTCCCAAGCAGGGACAGCATGGGGTTAGATACAGAGTAATACCCTGCCCCCTACTCTTTTAAACTAGAAATAAACTAAAAGTAATGATCCTCTACTCTTTTGAACTAAAAGTAAAACATAAAGTAAAGCTAGCTCTACACAGTGCCTGTCAAACACTCCCAGGACAGGGTCTGATACACAGTAAAGCTCCCTTGCAGTTTTTAACCTGCAAGTATTGCTCTCTCTAGTGTTTTAAACTGAAATTAAACCTCTCTCAACACTGTCCCCATCAAACGCTCACAGCATAGGGACAGCACAGGGTTGAGTACAGAATCTTACTGCTTTTTTAAACTGAAAGTAAAGCCTCCTCTACACTGTCTCCATCAAACACTCCCAGGACAGTGTCAGCATGGGGTCAAATACAGAGTAAAGATCCCTCTACTCTCTTAAACTGAAAGCAAAGCTTACTCAACACTGTCTCTATTAAATGCTCCCAGGACAGGTACAGCATAGAGGTGGATATACAGTCAGCTCTCATGTCAGGCAGTCACAGAGGAGGAAGTGAGACAACACTTCCTAATTCAGGCAAAGACACACTTGATCTGTCAAAACTGATTATCAAGGAATTTTACTTTCTGCTTTCCCATCTCCAGTTTAACAAAAATAGTCCGAAAGTTAGAGGCAGGCCAGGACAGCTCAGCAGCATGGAATGACCATCCAATCCCATGTGGGGAGCTATGGACACTCCACACGGCCCAGACAAATCAGGCGTGTAGGAAACATCTCCAGCTGGGATATCCCGAGCTCTCAGCTTTGGAGTGCTATGAGGATAACAAATTCAATATAGTCATCATAGTGGAGATTAAGAATAGGCAACTACAGAGGGAGTGGATAACTGCTTGACAGTTTAAAAAGACCAGGAAGTTAGTTCAGCAGCCCCTGAGTCTCCTTCTCTCACTGACCACTTTTCCATTCTGGTGAGGCGAATAGCTCCAAGGAGTGCAGCAAGAAACAGGTTTGGGCCACCAGTGTCTATGCTGTATGGATGGGAACGGACAGAGTAATGGGGCGAGGCAATGATAGACAGGGAAACCAGACAGGCATTTCCACTGCCAGGGTAGCAGGGTACAATGTCAAGCAGTGCCAGGATCAGAGATGTTTACGATCTGTATGGCCAAGCTCAGACCTCTGAGTGTAGGGGTTAGGATGTCATGTTGAAGTAGTGCAGGATGTTGGTGAGGCCTCTTCTGGAGCAACGTGTGCAGATGTGGTCGTCCTGCTATAGGAAGGATATTATTAATTTGGAAAGGGTCGGAAAATATTTACAAGGATGTTGCCGGGAATGGAGGGTTTGAGTTATAAGGAAAGGTTGGATAGGCTGGGACTTTTTTCACTGGAGCGTAGGAGGTTGAGGGTTGACCTTACAGAGGTTTAAGGTCATGAGCAGCATAGATAAGGTGAATGGCCAAGATCTTTTCTCCAGGGTGGGTAAGTTCAAAACTAGGGGGCTTTTTTTTTTAAGGTGAGAGGAGAACGATTTAAAAAGGACATGAGTCCTGGAGTCCTACAGCATGGAGAAAGGCCCTTCTGCCCAAAATATCCACATTGACCAAAATGCCCATCCACGCTAAACCCATTTCCCTGCACTTGGCCCGTATCCCTCTAAATCTTTCCTATCCATGTACTTATCCAAATGTCTTTTTAATATTGTTAATGTACCCCACCTCAACCACTTCTGCTGGCTGCTCATTCCATATGCATACATCCTCAGTATAAAAAAGTTGCCCCTCAGGTTCCCATCTATTCTTTCCCCTCTTATCTTAAACTGATGCCCTCTAGCCCTCGATTCCCCAACCCAGGGAAAAACCCAGAGTACATTCACCCTATTCATGCCTCTTATGATCTTATACACTTCTATAAGACCCCCACCAGTCAGTCTCCTATGCTCTAAAGAAAAATGTCCTAGCTTGTCCAACCTCTCCTTATAACTCAGGCCCTTTAGTCCTAGCAACATCCTTGTAAATTTTTTCTGTATTCTTTCCAGTTTAATAATATCCTTCCTATAGCAAGGTGGCCAAAACTGAACACAACACACCAAGTGCGGCCTCACCAATATCCTGTACAACTGCAACATAACTTCCCAACCTCTATACTCAATACCCTGACTGATGAAGGCCCTTGTGCCAAAAGCCTTCTTCACTGCCCTGTCTAGCTGTACTCCACTTTCGGAGAACTGTGCACCTGAACTCCAAGGTCCCTCTGTTCCATTACATTCCTTAAGGCCCTACCATTCACCATGAAACTCCTACCTTGATTTGACTTTCCAAAATGCAGCAACTCACACTTATCTATATTAAATTCCATTTGCCATTTCTCGGTCCACTTCCCCAGCTAATCAAGATCCTGCTGCAATTTCTGATAACCTTCTTCACTGTCCAAATACTGCCTACTTTAGTGTCATCCGCAACTTTTTTTTAAAACACAGAGAATGGTTTGTGTGAGGAACGAACTGCCAGAGGAAGTGGTGAGCCAAGAGCCACAAAGACCAGTGCTTGGGCACATATTCACAACCTGGACCAATGGTTTCAATATGGAGGCCCAGGTTCAAGTACCAGCTGATCAACAACATCTCAGGATAATTAGAAAAGATGTCAACAGGAACTCTAATTGTAATTGTATCCCCTAACTTGCAATGATAGTACAGAGAAATCTCTCTGTGCACTGTCCTCAAACACTCTCAGGACATGGGTAGCAAGGGGTTAGATACAGGGTAAAGCTGCCTCTACACTGTCCCCATTGAGCCCTCCCAGGACAGGGATAGCAGAGTACACTGTCCCCCATCAAACACTCTCAGGACAGGGGCAGGAAGGAGTTAGATACAGGGTAAAGCTTTTTCTACACTGTTCCCCGTCAAACACTCTCAGAACAGGGACAGCGAGGGGTCAGATACAGGGTAAAGCTTCCTCGTCTCTTTTAAACGGAAAGCGCTTGCCTCTTGTTTGATACTCTCTTGATCAAACCGTCCCAGGTCAGGGCCAGCATCAGGTTAGACACAGAGCAAAGCTCCTTCCACTCTTTTCAACTGACAGTAATGCTCCCTCCACACTATCGTCATCAACCAGTCCCAGTACAGGTAGATAAAGCGGCTAGTTACAGAGTAGAGCTCGCTCTACACTGTCCCTGAACATTTCCAGCGCAGTCAGATACAGTAAAGTCCCCGCCCGCCATCAAACGGTGCTGTTCCAGTGTTCCCCCAGACATACCGGAGTTGCTGCTCTCTTGTGCCTGCCTGTTCCCGGGGCTGAGCAGGGAGGATTGGAGCCCCTGCACGAACCTGTCGAAGGTCAGGTACCCAGAGGCTGGTGCCACTCTGCGCAGGCACTGCAGTACCCCCGGGGGCAGTGCCCGGCCGGGGGAGCCCTGGCTCCAGCGGGACTCGATCTCCAAGATGTGAACCGAGCCCCTTCGCCCATCGTCCAGGATATCGAACAGAGTCCGGAGACTGTGCAGGAAACCCCGGGGCAGCTCCTGGCATGATGGCCCGGTCTCCACACTGCCTGGGACAATTGACTGCATGGGTCCGAGGCCGGCCTGCCCACTTCCTGGTCACTACCTGCCCCCCCCGATCACCCCCTGGCCTGCTCCCCCTCCCGATAACCCTTTGGCCACTCTTGCCCCCACCTCGTCCCAATCACACTCTGGTCATTTGCCCCACATACAGATCACCCTCTGGTCACACACTCTCTTCCACCCCCTCCAACCTGTCCTGGGCTCTCCCTCTCCCTCTCCCTCTCCCTCTCCTGTTCTGTCACACTCTCTCTTACATCCTCCTTCACTCCAACCTATCCTGTTCTGGGGTCTCCCTCTCCCCTCCTTGACCAGGTCACTCTCTCTAACTTGTCTCTGTTTCCGGTTAATTTCACTTTGTAACAAAAACCTTTACCGCCTCAGCCACCTCCTCGGTGATTGGCTGCCGGGGTAAAGTCTGCATTGTGATTGGTGGAGCCTGAAATCAAAAAATCGATTCAGTGTTTCAGCCCGAGACAGAAAGGAGAGAGTGACGGAGGGAGGGGGAAGGAAAGGAGGGGGGAGGGAGTGAGTGAGGGATGGGGAGGGAGTGAAGGAGGGGAGGAGCAAGGGATAAGGGCCGGGTCAAAAGACAAGGTGTTGCAGATAGCCTCTGGATCTCTAGGGTGTGGAACTGTACAATTAAGTGGGGTTTTGGCTTAGATCACAATCCAGTGATCTTTTCTCAGCATCAATACAGTGTGGAGCTGGAGGTACACAGCAGGTCAGGCAGCATGAGAGGAGCAGGAAAATCGACGTTTCGGGTTTACACCCTTCGTCTGTCCTGATGACTCTGACTCCATCATCTGCAGTTCTTGCTATCACCTCTTCTCAGCCGCTGGAACACTGTATCTCCCACTCTGTTCTGTCACCCTGATGCACCTACACAGTACGATCTCCCTGTAAAGCACGTAAGACAACACTTTTCACTGTACCTCGGTCACATGTCACAATAATAAACCAAATCCTGCTGAAAATTGAACAGAAGACAGTTGGAGAAGGGCAAGGTATGGCTCTATAGTGATGCCTCCTACGATCAAATAGCACAGCAAAAGTCAGCTGAAGTTTGTTTCCATCAGCCCACCCGAAATCTGGTGGTCATCAGAATGTGAGAGGCCTGTGTAAAACAGCAGAGCAGGTACTGGCCCTCACCCACACTGTTCTCTGACATCTGTAAGGTACTCCTTCCCTGGAGTTTCTGGAATTAGCCTGTTTTTCTTTTCCTGAACAGACACGTTCCACTTTCTTTGCAAACAAACAAATATTTTAGTTTGGAAATTTACCTCTCGCCGCACCAAACTGTTGAGAACGCAGTAGCAGCTGAAAGCTGGAAATGAACACAGTATGGAATAGTGTCAGTTTAGCAGCAACGCTCCCCCACCCCCCGCATGTGAATAGCTCAGTCACAGCCATAATCTTGCTAGCTCAGTCGTTCAATCGGTTATCACTGAACCTTATAGAACAGAAAATCAGTGCTCTGTGCTTCCTAGCTGATTTCCCAATTCCAAACTATGCTTTATTCATGGAGAACAGGGCCAGGTGGAGCTTACTGGAAGCACACACTGATTGTAGTGTGGGGGGTAGTAGGAACTGCAGAATCTGAGATAACAAGGTGTAGAGCTGGATGAACACAGCAGGCCAAGCAGCACCAGAGGAACAGGAAGGCTGACGTTTCGGGTCTAGACCTTTCTTCAGAAATTTTTTTTTTTCTGAAGACAGAAACTTTCAGAGACTCGCCCCTTCTTCAGGTGTTAGACTAACACCCGTAGGAGCAAGGCTTCGAAAGCTTGTGTTTTCAAATAAACCTGTTGGATTATAAACTGGTGTCATGTGATTTCTGACCTACGTACAAATTGCTACATTTCCTACTTCACAACACTTCAGAGGTAAAGTGCTTTAGAAGCAACATAAATGTCAGTTCCTCCCCTTTCTTTGTACCTGTATTTTTGGCACTTGCAGTGCATTGATCAATTCAAAAAGCTCACCTTCTATAAGTTGACCCAAAGGATCTGTTTCTCTGCTGTACAAATCTATGACTTTGTGAGTGTAAGATCTTGGCTCAATTTGGACAGTAGCACACTATCACTGAGCCCTGGCAGACACCATACAGACAGCACTGTATATCCAACTGCCCCCAGTTCAAGTTTCTGAACTTCAGGATTTTAATCACACTTCGAACTTAGCCAAGTTTATATTATGTTATATTATTCTGAGGAGGAACCAAATTATGGTCCCTACACCCAATCCCTTTCCCTTTATTTGACCCCTGATCGCTTCCTGACCCAGTGCATCTATCCCAAACCCTGGCACCAACGAGGCAGCACAACCTTCCTGTCTCTCATTCTTTTCTTCAGAGTACTGCCTTTCCCCCGTCTCCTCACCTCAGACCTGAGAGCACAAGGTCATGGTGAATTACTATTGACAAAACCTACTAATAGAACAGCTCAGAGTGAATCATCAATGAAAACTGAGCCAAGAACCAGGCTTTATGCAGAGCACTCTTACCACATTATCTTTGATGCTACAATTGCTCAGAGAAATTTATCTTGTGCATATTATTTAGTTGTTAACTAATATTTGAATTGTGTTGTTTTCCTTTGATTGTTATGGTAAATGTTTGGATGAGATTTAGTTTTATCACATGGGCTGCAGTGATTCAAGAAGGTAGATCACAGAGCCCTCTGTGGGCATGGGTAATGAATACTGGCCTAACCAGTGACATCTATGCACCAAGAATTAATTTAAAAAATTGAAATCTTGTCCATCGGTTACTTTCTGTTGAGGCTGTTTATGGTTTCCTTTCTTTCACGTTGTAGGTTTCCACAGAGATCATGACAAATGTAACATTTGCACCTTATCAGTACCAGGCAATCAAAATCTCCTACATGAGAGATTAACCACCAGCCTTTCAAATTCAGTGTAATTATTATTCACTTGACTCCCTTTCCATTAAAATCTTGGGACCAGGATTAACCAGAATCCCAAAAGGACCAGCCATATGAATACTATATTATCGTAGGGTAGGTCAGAGGTTGGGAATTCTTAACCTATCCATCATCTACAAGGCACAACCTGATCCATGTCGGAATACTGCCCTCTTGCCTGGATGGGTCCAGTTCCAACAACACTCAAGAATGTGAATGCACAGAGTGTACTCCATAAAATGAGGGAGATACAGGCACAGAATGCCTCGGGGATCATAATCTTGTGCTGATAATGGAATCCAGGCTGAAGGAACAGCAGAACTGGGTCTTAAATATTCCTGGGTACAAGGTATTCAAAAAGAAAATAGGGAATAAAAAAGGGAAGATGGCATTTTTGGACAAAGATCAAAAACTTCTAAGATAGTTCAGGGACAAAATCGATTTGGCTAGAGTTAAGGGACAAGAGAGGAGCAATCACTTCCTTGGCGTAATCTAGAGACCAGTGGGAAGAATGTGGAGAAACAAATCAGTAGGGCAATGATGGATAGGTGTAAATATCATAGAGTGGTTATGACAATGATATGGAGGAATTTATTAGTACCAGTTTCTCCATGCCTAATCCCTACATTGACTGGGATAGTGCTAGTGTAAGGAGCAGTAAGAGATAAGCCATTCTGAGATAGTATTCAGAAGAATTTCCTGCACTATTGTGTGTCCAATTCAACAAGAAAGGAGACACTGCTAGACCTGATTCTTGGAATGAGGTGGGCGAAGTAGATCAAATGAAACTGTAACTGAGCAATGCCCTCCCTGAAAAATGCAGATGGTTTGGATGAGTGGTGAATCCTCAATGCTAGATTGCATCTTCCATATTTCTAGAGAGACTCACAAGAGTGTCCAAAATAGCACAGCAGCATTTGAAACAGCACAGGCAAAGGTGAAAGAAACAGCAGACAAACTTGCTGGAACTAAAACTTTTCCAACAGGAGACAAAGTATTAGTATTAAGATGATTACAAAGTGAACCTCTGAAAGTGGTTCGACAATATAGTTAGGAGGGTTAGTGAAATTATATATCTGATAGATAACTCCAGATTGTTGGAAGAATAATCAATTATGTCATGTAAACATATTAAATCAATATCATCACAAAGAGCAGGTACATCAAATTGTAAGAATAGTGACAGAGACAGTAGGAGTGAGGTAGAAGGAGATGATGATAGTTCACTAAGTAAAACGCTTACAAACTGACTTACCAGTACTGAAATACTGGGACAGTCAGACATAATTTTCGCAGACTTAGAGAGGAAGGTCAAGGGAATATCTAGTAGGGTTACTTGGGAAATCCAAGGAAATGTGTAGCGCTAACACCCGGATATACAATGTTACCGAGACATGATGTGGGTGTGGAGAAGTTGGTACTAATAAAACAACATCCTTGTTATTTATGTCCAGTAAAACAAGCTCAGATGGAAACAGATATCAATACATGTTAGAAAATCACTTGATTGAACTTAGTAAGAGCAGCAGGAGTTCCTCAGTAGTATTAGTTCCTAAAACAGGATGATTTGACTAGAGACAACAAGGTGCAGGGCTGGATGAACACAGCAGGCCAAGCAGCATCATAGGAGC